TYCAAACAATAGGGACTTGCCAGTCCCTACTTGTGCCAGTCCCTACTGACAGCCAACTCACTCACTCCCTTTCATCCTCTTTTGTCCCATTCTCCCTCGTTTTTCTCTCCTTTTTCTTTTTCTTTTTCTTTGTTTTTCTTTTTTTTTATGACATGCTAAGTGTCAACTAGTTGCTGAGGCTTTTTCTAGGCCTTACATTTTGATTCAGACCTAGATCATGCCCAGGGTGCAGTCCGTTATTTCTCGGACTGCAACTGTGGCAACCCCATGCTCGTGGGAGCCTCCATTTTGCCTCCGTTTTTTCCAAACTGTGACCCCTCGTACTCCGATTTTCTCGTGGAGGCTTGTTTTTCACATGAAGCCTCTCAAGGCTCCATTCCCTCTAGGGTGGCTGGTCTGAGATATTCCGGATTGCAGTCCACCTCCTTTTCCTCATTTCTTCGCTTCCTTTTTCCCTCTACGGCTCACCCACTTGCTTCCACTAGTGCTTGCACTAGTGGTGCTAATATTTTTGGCCGTTTAGATCTTGATCTTAACGGCGCATCTTGCTTTGAATATTTCTTTCCCGTGGCACTCCACAATTCTTTCTTGGGACAACTCAGGTCCCCGACACTTGTCCGGCACTAGTCCCCGACACTTGTCCCATTGGCACTTGTCCCGCTGATGGTCCCACCGACATTTGTCCCAAAATGCCATTATTTTTACTTAGTCCCATACGGTTCCCGGCACCTTTGCCCATGGTGTCCCAATTTTTCTTGGCATTTCTCATTCCTCGGCAACCCCATTTTCCGACTCCTCCTTTGTCCCAAGTGTCTCGGGCCTTCTTGGCCGCGATATCTCTAATCTTGCGGTAACCGTTAGTTGCCGCAACTGGCCCCCATGCTCGGGGCCTTTTTTGCTAGTGTCTTGTGGACGCCCAGGCTCTTTTCCCTTACACTTCCTTGTGGTCCACTGCATTCCCTTTGGATTTCTTCTCAGTTCCGAGGCCTACGGTCCTCGAAATTGAGGCTTTCTTCCTCTTTTTCTAGTCCCTTTTAACCAAGGCCATTCATCCTTCAAGTTGTTTGTGGCCCGGTACCTGCTCGGGTGTCCCGTACCAGTCTTCTCTTTGCATCCCCTTGTTTGGTCGATGACCCTTAGGCTCTTCTCACGACGTATTCAGATGGCCTCCTCGGTCGCACGCTATGCTTCCATGTCCCGGCGTCACGACAATGTTTTCCTTGACGTCGCTGGTCCCCCTCTACCTGCGGCGCTTCAACTAAGGGTATCATTTCCCTTTACTAATTCCTTGCAGCACTTTGCCGCTTGTCACTCTGTTAGTATATTATTGGCCCAATGGTCTCGACGGCCTTGGGCATCGTCCAGGGCCCTAGGTGTCGGCATTCCTGCCTTAACCCTTCATCCTTTCTGTCTCTCTTGCTGCCTCATTTCGGATTCCTCTGTCGTGCACACTTTAGCCATGTATCGTCTCTCAGGGGCCGGGACTCGATTCGGGAACCATAGGTCCCCACACCAGTAGCCCCCGAGCAGTCAAGGGCCACTGACTATCAGGGTATGCAACACTGATGCACCGAATATTTTCCAATAGCCTCCAGCAGTGTCCCTCTCAACCCCGGGACCTACCAACAACCCTGTGCTATTGTGGTCACACTGCATGAGAACCAACATCAACATGCAGGGAAACTTCAGAGAGCGCCGGCGCCAAAAGAGTGAGCCTACGAACCAGCTCTAGTACCAAATTGCAAGGAAAATGAGCAATGCGAATTACAGAAACCAAATTGCATCATCCCATTGAAAGTCAGATAGTCAGATACGATGGGCTTTGCTGGGAGAGACTATTACCTGGAGGTATTTTTCTTGTCTTCTCCATTCTTTCTCCTTCGTCTCCTCCAATCTCTATCATCCGTGATTCTTCTCCCCGTGTGTGTGTGAGCAACAGGGACCTTTCGTCGATGTATGTACACCCTCCTTGCCCTTCTACATGTGTGATGATGTCTGTGTGTCGTGCTGTTTGTCGTGCTCTGAGTCTTCCATTTTGCTACATTGGATTATATATTGTCTTGGTTCTGATTTGCATTGCTTCCTGGTTGATCACGTTGCTAGTCTTCGAGCCTTTTTCATCCACATTGGCGGTCTTTGGAGCCTGCGCACTGCCTATCTGCTGATACTCTCTCTCTCTCTCTCTCTCTCTCTCTCTCTCTCTCTCTCTCTCTCTCTCTCTCTCTCTCTCTCTCTCTCTCTCTCTCTTACACATGCCGTGTTTTTTCTGGCTTCGTGCTTATATTTTGTCATTAACTAGGACGCTCGATTCCTCATGCCAAATTCTGGGCTGTGCAAGCTGGTCTTCTCCAATGAATCATTCAAGACAGTAAGGTGAGTGGAATCTCTCTCTCTCTCTCTCTCTCTCTCTCTCTCTCTCTCTCTCTCTCTCTCTCTCTCTCTCTCTCTCTCATGCCGTGTTTTTTCTGGCTTCGTGCTTATATTTTGTCATTAACTAGGGCACTCGATTCCTCATGACAAATTCTGGGCTGTGCAAGCTGGTCTTCTCCAATGACTCATTCAAGACAGTAAGGTGAGTGTTTTTCCACTCGACCCTTTGAGAGAGATTCTTGTGAGAGTTCAAGGAACTCCAGCTGCGGGTTTTTTTGATTGCCCATGACAGGTGGCTGTTTGATGCATGGATGCAAATGAGCTCTGAGCCTTCTATGTTCTAACCCTGCTGACCACTTATTCGCCATGTACCTTGTCGGGTGGTGGTGGTGAAGGAACTCCCTGAATGCCTCCTTCCTTAAACCTCCAGCACTTGAGGGCCTCGATTTCCCGACGCAGACTTGTGCTGCATGCCGATAAAAATGATCTGGTGTGGGTGCACTAACGAAGGATGTGGCTCATTAACGGCGGCGTTGGAACAGAATGGCTGGGAAAAGTACTGGTGGTTTGAGTGGCTGCTGGAACTCCCTCGGAAATTGTGTAGGGATTCTCCACCATGGCACATACCAGATCTGCCCCCGAGCTTGTTCAGGTGGTTGTCTGCGACTACTGATGCAGCACTGGGTCAGGTTGTCACATACATAACTCACTTCAGCATACAAAATATACTAGGCCCTTAAACTCCACCCGATGGCAACACAGAAAGAAATGAACCACAGATTTTGCTTTTGAAAAAGAGAGAAAAGTCGCCCTGGAGGCTGAATGGTAAGGATACTAAGGAAGTATAACTCATAGTCAACTGATTCAGTGTTCGGATCCTGCTGGAGACAGTAACGTTAGGGGTACCAGCCAGTACCCTTTAGTGGTTTAGTGAAAGGCTAGGGGTGCATAAGTAAAAACAAAAACGAATGAGATGCCCTGGTCTTGTCAGTGTCCCAGGTTCGGACTTTGGTGGGCCATCGAGTGGAGGAAGAGTTGTGTCTATGGTTCCTGTGCAATCTATATTATGCTCTGTTCCTCTCTCTAAGATGCTCTGTAATTTTTCTGAGATGCTTTTCTTGTGCAACTGAACCTGCACTGGGTATATACCATGGTTACCAACATCCGGATCCCGATCCAGACTATCCGGTTCGGAGGGTCCAGACAATCTGGTTCGGAGGGTCCGGTTGGATCCCGATCCGGACTATCCGGTTCGGAGGGTCCAGACAATCCAGTTCGGAGGGTCCGGTTGGACCCCGATTTCGAAAAATTCGAATTTTTTTTTTGGGGTTCCCAGGCGGTTTACCTGGGCCTGGGGTACCCCGGAAAATAATGCTGATGTTTTTTGAGAACCAGTACTCCAACCGGACAGGCCCTGAAAGGGCCCTCTGTGTGATAACATTGGCACACGAAATCACTGCTTTGCTCTTATTTAGATGGAATCTTGGTGCATTTGAGCTCTCTGCTTGGTACATGACTATCTGGACTTCTGCGTGATTTTGCAATTTGATTTTCTGTCTATCACTCTCGCTCATATTCCTTGCATTTTTGTGACATGGGAGGAGGGTCTGGCCGATGGGAGGGGCGACCAGGGATGGGAGGGCGATGACGCCAGACAGAGACGAGCGACATTGGATGCTGTGTTGGTGGGGCCTGAGGGCGATGACATCGGCACACGACTTCACTGCGTTGCTCTTATTTGGATGGAATCTTGGTGCATTTGAGCTCTGTGCTTGGTGGTGGTGGTGGGTTTTTTTTTTTTTTTTTTTTTTACCTCAGACAACTGGACACCGACACAGCAAACCGGACTGTCCGGGTCCGGATGTCTGGATGTCCGGTTAACCGGGCGTCCGGTTTGATCCAGACACGGGTCCGGTGTCCGGGTCCGGGGCAACCATGGTATATACTTGCACATGGAAATGAAATGGCCGAACACTTCAGGTTTCAAAAGAAGAAATGAAAAAGGGAAAAACAAATTTGTCCATTTCAGTACCTACTACCTAGGCCTTGAAGTGAACTTCCTCTTTCATGTTTTTATGCTCTTCTTCTTGGGATCCTGTGTGTGATGTTCTTCGTGCAGGTGCTGCGTAAGAGGCTCACTGCTAGAAGTTAACAGCCGGCTTTCCGATGATCCTAGCCTACTTATGACCAAGGTAACTACTAGCAGCAGCCATTAGGCTGTTAGGCCCCCATGGTGCTATGTTTGTGCTTACAACACACAGACCTGGTCATAAAAATCTCCAACATAGCATCAACCGAGCCAGGCCCTAAATGCTGAGCTTTGCTGGGTTGTTGTTGTTGTTGTTGCTGTTGTTGTTATTGTTGTTTTCTTTTTTGTGGTCTTCAGGGTTGCATACCTGCCGACCGCCGACCCCGACCGCCGACCGTATTGCAGCCGACCAGTCAGAAAACATTCAAAACAATCATCCACTGATTTTTTTCCAAATCTGAGTTGGGGGCTGTACTGCGCTTGCTGAGTACAACCCAAATCCGCTGAGAAACTTTTGGGGATGGGGGAAGGTATGGGGGGGGTTGGAGGGGGGTATTGGGGGTGTATAGGGGAATATAGGGTGGTATTGGGGGGGGTAATGCGGGTGTTGGGGGCAGTTTGGGGGTGTTGGGGGGGTGCATGAGGGTATTGGGGGCTGCTATGGGGGTGTTGGTGGGGTTATTAGGGGTTCGGGACCCTTTTTTTTTTTTTTTTTTTTGTGGGGTGTCGACGACCTCCAACTGATAGGTGCCGACCAGCCAAAGGCCACCGACTGTCGGGGTATGCAACACTGGTGGTCTTGATAATGTTCTGTAATGTGTCAACACATTCCAAGCTAAGCTTAACAACTCTGCTGTTTCTGATGGATTGTCCTCCCAACAGGATGGTGATGAAATGGATTTCATGGGATGTGAATGAAGATTATCAGAAGGAAAATTCGCACTTGCAGTTACCCTTATTATGACTGATCTCTAAAGCAGATGCCACAGAGGGATGGTTGTGACAGACTGTTTCCTCATTGGGGGGATCAAACAACCACTACCTTTCCCAGGCAAGAGCAAGAATCGAAAGTGTAACATTCCGTGTTCTTCGGAGGCTTCGGGCTACTGGACCCAGATGGCTAATGGCGTCAGCCTAAAGAGAAAACAACCGCTGCGCTGGCGCTTCATCAAAGCTTGGCGCACAGTTGCTTTCGTCCTCGGCAAAAAGAGGATTGGAGGTAGTGGTGGTTTAACCGTGTACAGTCTGGAGAATGAATTTGCAGTGAGTGACAATGACCAGAGGAATGGAATAATGGTAAAGTTGGTAAACTAAACCACCGCTGGTTGTGTGAGACTGTTTCTTCATCGGTGCTGGTTGTGTCAGACTCTTTCTTCATCGGAAGGCTCAACCATTGACAGTCTGCAGAAGGAATTTGCAGTGAGTGAAAATGACAAGAGGAATGCAATGATGGTAAACTAAAAAACCACTGCCCTAAGCCTCAGTTACCAAACCTGGGCCGTCGGCCGTTGGTTTATCGATCTTGGTGGCCAGCCATTTACCAAAGCTTTCCTCAGCCTCCTTGTCTGCATTCTTGGGGGGCCATCATCATAGGCAGTGGTGGTGAAAGTGGCATACACTGTTAAATGGAGAGTTTTCTGGAGAAACGTCGTCACACTCTGCGTTAATCCCATTTTGTCAGCCACCAATGTGAAAATGGTGGAAGGATTTGTCCTAGAGAAATGCTACGATCCTGGCCATTTTCGAAGTACATATTCATCAGTAAGCACAATGCCGTCCAATTGCAAAAAGAAATGAATGAACTTGAGAAGAGAGAGACAGAGAAAGAAGAAGAAGAAGAAGAAGAAGAAGGAAAGAAGAAGAAGATGATGTACACCATCATAGACCAACGATAATTCTCTTCTCCTTCGCCAATCACTCCCCTCCTCCTTATCTCCTTTCCTCTTATTCTATCAAGAAATAACAATAATAATCTTGAATGGCTGAACCAGAATCAATGTCCGAATCCCTCTTCTACTGCAGCCACAACATGAGGTCCACCATAGCCATGGCCACCCTTCCTCTTCCTCCTCATGTAAGCCGAGGCTATGGCAGACTACTGAGGGCTCTGCCCTCCTGTCCAAGGACAACCCAAAGCAGCTATGTTGCTGCTCATTAAGCCGCCATGCCTGACTCTGCCCCAAGCCTCCTTGGTGCGGCACTCCCCCAACTGGGGCCTTCCAAATGCAGTGCCTATCAAGGTGATGAAGATGCTGTCCACCATAGCCAGGTAGGTACCTCGCCGCTCTCCTCCTCGGTCCTCTTCTCCCTCCTCCTCCTACTGGTAGAGCTCCACCATAGCCGAGGTGAGAGCTCCCGACCTTCTTCCTCCAAGCAGCGCTGTAGTACCCAGCGCTCCTCCAGCCACCGCTCCAGCAGTGTGTCGCCAAACTTGCACACCGGAGAATGAGGCTGGGCTCTTCGCTCAGCCTCAAGATATATCGGCCTAGTTGCCTCCTGGGCAGTGACTTCCAGGCCGCTTGGCCTCCCAAGCAACCGGTACCTCCTCCCTTTCGGAGGGAAACATCATTGCAGACTCTGATATTGACCGTACAGGCCCTAGACTCAGACTGGATGGACTGGTACCCGCCTAGACCTAGCCTACCGCTACTGGGCCTCTAAAAATGCCAACTTTGTCTTCTTCTGCTCGGCCTCGAGTACCCGGCACATCTACCTCTACTGGGTGCGGTACCGGCCTACCTGCTACTTGAGTGTTTTTCCGCTGCTCTAAGTGCTGCGGGCCTCTTGCTCCACCACTTGAGTGTTTTCCCTGCGGCAACCGTCAATGTCACAGCCACAGGTAAGTACCGGCCCTACGGGCCTCCCAAACAAGCAAGTACCCTTGCGGGTCACACACACGCTCATGCCGACAAGCACAGACAGGCACGCAGGTCACCAAGAACGCACACACACACAGACTTAGAAAACTCAGCAGAATGCGGGAATCTCATTAAGGCATCCAATCCATCGGCAGAACTCAGAAATCAGCAGTGTTCTCAGTCTGTGTTATGGCGGGTCATTACAAAAATCTTAAAACTACTAGCACCAACTGGTAAGTGCCCCCCCCTTATTTGATAGCAGGGTCTCGGGCCCGATTCCTTGCAATTCCTTCTGGAATCAGATGTTAAGCTGCCAGTTCCAGATTGGTTGGTCCAGCAGGTTCTGGGTTTGAGTCCTAGTCTTGTTGGTCCAGGTGTATCTGTGCCTGAGTGTCCCAGGATTTGAGTCCAGGTCCATCCATTCCAGTCAATGCGTCAGGTCTTATTTCGCACCGACTGTTCCGGGTTCGAGCTGTTGCTTCCTTGTGCGCTGCGATGGAAAATTTTGTGAGAGCGGAACATGGGTGAGTGTGTTTTTGTGTTTGTGTGTGTGTGTGTGTGTGTGTGTAGCATGCATGTGTCATGCGTTTCGCACGAGCACGACACGTCATGCTTGTGCTACTCCGACTAAAAAGCGTCGGCACACCGTGAGCAAAAAGCAAGACGTGGGAGGCGATATTCCAACGCGGCGAGGTAAAACCACTTGGTATGTCCATCTTGTGGTGAGGGTAACCACGGGGCCATTTATCGGGTGAAGTCGGCCAAACCTGCGCTAGTGGCGAATCGAAGTGAGGGGGGTAGGGTTGCTTCGTATTGCAAGGGGGCAACGAACGAACCATCCATTCAGGAGAGAGGGGGGAAAAAACTCGAAAAAAAACGAAAGGACGACAATTCGAGGAACCGAAGACAGAACAACCATTGATGACATCCCCACACATGGCAAAACTCGGATACGACCATATACTACTTTTCTTATCCAATCAACAGGATGCCATGCGAAAAACGACAAATGGAGAGAAGTGGGAATGCTTTTTATAGGATAGGAATGGGGG